TATATGAATGTGTTTTACTTGAATGTACAAGCATTTGGACCGTTTGAGATACAAGATATTGTCTTAAGTTGTTTTGTATCTTGGAATACTCCCAGGAAGCAAGTAATGGTGAGTGATGGTGATAACAGATTTGACAATAAAGTGTGATGAATGAGTTATATGAAGGGATAGCCGTTGGTAAAGAACATGAGCAGCTGGTTGAGGTTAGTGGAAGGAGTGAAATACACAAAAATAAAAAAAGAATAATGACAACACTGATGTGGAATTGGGATTGAGGAAAATGATGTGTCGGGTAAAGAAAAGGACATGTTATCAAATTTGGGAAGGGAAAAGGGAAACAGAAAAATATTATGATAAGAGCAAATGTGTAAATATCAGTAGTTCATTCCTTCAGCCAATATAAAATACATATGAAAAGACATGCTTTTAAAATCCATCCATCAAAGTTTGACTCATGTAAGAATAACCAATGGAACCATTTGAAAGAAATACAAAGAAGATAATTTGATAAAATTTATAGCATTAATCAGATAAATAAAATAATAGCTCACTGTCTTCTACTAGGAATTTTTTAAAAAAATTCTTATTACGAAAAGGTAATTTAAGAAGTTGTTCATAATCACATATTTCTATGTTGTTAAAATATAAATAAATTAGATTGTTCTCAAAAAAATCCTAACACAAGTTTTAAATTGAAAGTGTAGCATTACACTGTTAATATCTAAGGGCAAGGGTGTCTATCTTCTGTTTTGAAATAGAAGCCGTTTTCATTATTTCAAATATGTACAAAACTAGATCTTATTAAGCTGAAAAATTACTTGTGGAGAAGAAATATTTTTTGAACATTACAAATAACAAAATACAATTTACATAAACATGTACATATCCAAGGGTTTTTCTAGAACTTATCATGCCATGTTGCAAGTTCTTGGCTATTTCAGAATTTAAGGACAGCAAATTAGTGAACACCAGTAAATATGTTTCTCAGAACTTCAAGTGTCAAAAACTGTAATCTAAAATAATTGACACTGATTGTTTTTCATTTTTTCCTAGTTGTTTTTAGCAATTGCTGGCTTCTCGAAAAGAAACACCATATTCTTTTTTGTTTGTTCATATAAGTTGTGCTCTATCTCCTTATAAAGTTTGTGTTAAAAAATGATTAAATTTCAATGAAAAAAATCAACTGGATTGCATCGTTTTTATGTGTAACCATGGCGGATACTCACTCCATTTTACACAGTCTATGGTATGTGATGGAACATCTCTGAAACACAAAACCACAAACAATTTCTCAATAACTTTGGCAGAATTAGCACCATATTATTGTTAATGTATCTGAAGAAGGAATATTTGGATATCTTCAACATCGATTCATGCAGGCTCCTTTTTTACCATGAACTTATTTTAAATTTTGTGAAGCTATGCCGAATTAATTAACTGAGTAGTGAATATATATATGTGAAATAGGTTGGTTAATAAAACAAGTACAAACGAAAGGGCACCAATGTAATCAGTACGAAAAACATTTATTAAATATTAATTATTAACCACATGACAGAAATGAAGCACGGAAATGAAGGTTTCAAGTTCAGAAGTTTCGGATAGTGTGAATTCTGGTGGAAATCATTTTATTTGCAAGAAATAAATCTCTGTCTGATTCCTAGGTGTGCGAAACTTATGAAAATAAACCTAGATTCAAATTTTGGATCAGTGTAAACGCGTTATCAGTGTGGATAGTGGGGAAGTGAGATTGTGAACATACAGGAAGTGGGTCATAGGATGCGGAGTGGGGAAATTATATATATATATATATATATATATATATATATATATATAATTATAGTATATATACTACATCAGTATAAGGAGTTTATGTTCCAATATTCCAGAAATTGAACTCCATCTTTATAAGATCAAATCTGATTTCATGTTCCTGTCTGAAGATTGATGATATCCTCTATGATCATCCCTCAGCTAGCAATCGTATTTTGTACTTTCAATTTTCACTATGAGGAAGGTTTAGTCCACACAAACAAAACTGATAAAGGAGAAGATACTGTCATGACTTCTCCATTGTTTATGGATTGAAGCAGATCGTGGATAAACCTACTCATGTTCCTGACATAGCCGGATATCATCTAGACCTTTTTATCATCTCATTTCTTGGCGAATACTTCGCTAGGTACTTCAGACCTTACGTTGATCAATGTCAAAATTGATGTCAAACCAAAGGCATCTTTCGATATCCCGTTTCATAGGACGTATTCCATTGGTAAGAAGTTCCATTCTGACAGCCCCTGCTTTGTGGAATAGACTCCCGAAAGGATGTTTCCCTGGTCACTAAAATCATAATCTCTTTGAGTTTAGAATCTATCCTACATATCTTCATACTCTATAATTCTTAGTCCATAAAAAAAATCCATTCAATAAGCCTCTACCTTGTGTGGGTCTTAGACCTTGTATTGACTGTTAATAGCATATATATATATATATATATATGTCTATTTTAAGATGTCTATTTTCTTTTTCCGAGATAACTGTATCATTGGGCCTCATAATCCACTGCCTAAGAATCTCAAATCACTCGGACACACCGTTGTTAGAGCCAATTCCACAAGTGCTGGGATACACTTAGTCACCTTCTAGTGACTCTTTCCTATTTCCTTACAGAGTAGAACGAAGATGTCAAAATACTTACACCCTCAATAGTCCTTGTTTTAGCACGAATCTCCCCTTCCCTATTTTTTGTGGATGTCCGACAGGAAACGTTATTTTTCCATCCTCCCCTTTCCTTCCTTGAAGAACTATTTCAGGTTTTATTTTCCTTTAATTAAATACAGTCATTACTTAATAAATATGGGTGGTACTGCCAACAAAGGCACAAATTACGTACATCCCCACATATATATATATATATATATATATATATATATATATATATATATATATATATATATATATATATATATATATATATATATATATATATATATATATATATATATATATGTGTGTGTGTGTGTGTGTGTGAGTGTGTATTCGTGAGTCATAAGAAGAGCAATCGAGAAACTGATGAGGCCAATTTATTTCGAGTCTCTGTGTTTCTGTTTCCAACCAAACAAAATGTTATTCATAACTGCTGCTCCAGCTGTTTTGCTACCCACTTTTTTGCTTTGCTTTTTTTAACATTTGAAAGTTAACAACTGTTTTCCTCCAAAACACTTTTGGATAAGCAACATATCTTATTTAGCAAGACATAATACGAATTCTTTTCTGAAATTTGCACCTTTGTAAAAAAAAGTAACTGGTGATGGTCTCTGTCTGAATTTCTGTGAGGAGCAACATTTATTCATATTCAATATCCTTATCTTTGTTATTATTATCACAACATTTCGGCCGTTGTCTCATCTGGCCGTCTTCAAGTGCCTGTTGATCCAAATAACATTTTGAATATTTCGAACTGAACCCACAGTTAATATGTCACTAAATTTACGAACAACGCTTTAATACACTCGGCTATTGTCCCGTGTAATTTAGTAACATTAATAATTGTTAGTTCCACTCATAGCCTGGATAGTAGAGACTTAGACAGAATGGAAACAAGGTAAACAGTAACTGAATAATACTAAATAAAACAATACTAGATATGGACAGCGGAAGATTAAATAAAGGGTTCAATTCTTGCATCTATGAAACAATCCTATTCAGTATCCCTTGGGTGTCTCTTGTGTCTTTTATTTGTGGAACAATAGCATACGCTATTTAAAATCACCTATTCTCCTGAATACATTATTTAAAATGAACTCTTTTCTTAAGAGTAATGTTGGGTCAAAAGCACCAACAAAGCGCAAACCAAAATTGAGCCAGAGAACGCTTGAACACCATCCTGCTGTTTTAACCTTCGAAACAAATCTAAACCCATATTATAGGCTTGTATAGGTAGTGATCGAAATCTTTGAACACCCTCTAGACGCAAAGCTTTTATCTTTATTAACAACATTACTTATTGAAATTTCTATTCAATCAGAATTTTTGCTCACTTCAGAAAAATACCAAGAAATCCAGATTAATTTCTTTGTTTGTCTAAAAAGATAGATTTCTTTGGAATGTATTTCATTAGTAAATCATTTCCTAGAGTCAAAGAAAAAGAAATAATTCATGTCAGAGTTCTTGCTCAAGTTCTGCTTCAAATAGACTGTCAAAAAACTTCTTTTCCTTGTAATTTGTATTTTTTTATTTTATTGATTCTATCTCAGTTCTTTTCACCGCCTTTATTTATCTTTGAGCGCCCTTATTGTTGCTTTTATTGTTGTTGTTGCTGCCAAGAAATGGTGATGGCCTGCCCTAATCAAGGAATTTCAACAACTCAGGCATCTCATCAAGCGCCTTTATTTGAGCGAGAGTTCGTAAGGTCTTTGAGAAACCAATGTCCAAACTATAGGCGTTGATGGGGTATGGAGGAGCATTTATGTGCTTGGGTGGGGACTATGCGTTGATATATTGGTGGACAATAGTACAGGGCAAATCCAAAGAGTTCTAATCTTAGAGGCAAGATAGAGAAAAAGAGGAAGTTAAAGGGAAATCGGAAGGAAAGGGATGTGGCTTGCATAGGAGGAAATAGAATGTATAACAATGCTAAGGAAGATAAAGCTTAAGCCGTTAAAAAATGAATCAACGAAAGGAAGAGGAAGAATAAGAGGAGAAGGTAAAGAATTTTTAAAAAATAGTCTTTACTTCAGTGTCAATGAACTATGAGATAACAGGAAAAAGTGATAGTTAAAAAAAGGAAATCAAAATATAGAGTCAGAGAAAGATAAAAGAAAGGACAAGAATAACTTAAGATGTGATTAAGGCGAACGAAGAAGTTTTGCAGGAAGGCGAATGAAAAGAACACGAGAAGGAGAAGTCAGAAGAAATAGAAAGATATCTTAAAAACACTAGCGAGATTTTGGAAAAGGACAGTAATGTTAAAGTACAATAAATAATTAAGAAAATTAAACGAAACACGAAGAACAACAAGAAAAGAAAAAAAAGAAAAGAAAGGAAGCTTATAAAAAGAGGAATATATAATAAAGAAGGCAAGAATAGAAATAGCGAAGTATTAACATGATAAAGAAAAATAGAAAGAAAAAGAAACAAAAAAGAATAAAATAAGAGTGAGTTGAAAAACAAGCAAAAAATAAAGAGGTGGAACGAAATACAATAAAAGAAAAGAAAAAAATTGTCTGTCAAAAAAAAAGTAAAGACGAGAAAAGTGTTATAAAGTAAGAAAGGAAAATTGAGTAAATATATATATATATATATATATATATATATATATATATATATATATATATATTAGGGGGAGAGAAAAAGGGAGATTTTGTAAAAAGGGAAATCTGAATGAAAGAGAAAATCTAAAAAGAGGATATGATGAAAATCAGGAAATAGATAGATGGGTAAAGAAAAAGAGACCTACAAAGAAAATTATTGTAGAAATGAATTAAACTGAGGGAGAGAGAAATGGAAAGAAAAAACTCCAGAAAGAAAAAAGACCCAGAGTAGTAAAATAAATAAGATCGAACGATTATACGTGGTAATAAAAAGAAAACGAAAGATAAAAACAAGGAAAGATAAAGTAGATCAGAAGCAAGAAAAAAAAAAGAAGAAAAAAACAAGACAGGAAAGAGAGACAGAATATAAGTGGAAGAATAAGATAGATAAATAAGAATTAAGACATAAATATCTTGTGAAAATACAAAAATGTGATGACGGAGGGACGGGAAAAAGAACGATAATAGAAGACAAAAAAAATAAAAGGACAGTGAAAATATTTACGTAACCTCAAATGTAAACAATTCCGGGAGACTGACTGGTACATCCACAGAAGAGGATATATCAGTCATATTCCAGCCTGTAAGGGGACAGAAAGACAGGCTATTGGGCTTTGCGTATAGCGATTAGTAAGCAGTGAGTCTTAGCCAAAAGTACGAACATCGAGAGCAGAGAGAAAATTCTTTCAATCATGGTTCTAACCATTTCTGCAAGACATTTATGATCTCGTCTACATCCTTAGGTCTGGTAAGATTGCACAAACCGATCATTTGATTGATGCCTAGTCACTGGCAGTGAAAGAATCAAGCAAAGTAGTCGCTTGTTATGTGCATTTGTGTGAACGTTCATGAGGCTGTATTTGTTGGAAAATTTATGGCGTCAATAACTAAGTTTTCTAATGACATGTTTTATGGTTTGGTGTTCGTTATTCATTGTTTTAGAATTACTGATCTTGGACATCACTTTGGTTCTTACGAAAGTGCAGTATCGAATTTTGGCATTTTTATCATTAACTTACTTAAGTATATATTAAATAAATTATTATAACAATAATACATCTAATTATATATAAATATTATATATTTGTATATATTTTATTTAATACAGTATGTATTTAAACAGCAATACTTCGTTTAAGCATTTGGGGAAACCTCTCTTGGGTAGACCAAAATTTACATTTACAAATTTTTAAAACTCAAATCTTACTTTTCGTTCACTAATACAGTTATTCTTAAATGTGGAATTAATATTCCTTGCAGATTCAATTTTGTTATGGTCAAACTTCTAATTATATGAGTATAAAACGTGAAAAAATGAGATGAAAATCTTTCCATACTGGAATAAGAGTGTGGTGTGAATTAAATTATGAAATGAATTTAAAAAAATATATCAATAGCATTTTAAAAATTAAAACTTTGTCGTTTATGAAAAACAATAAAAATAAGTCTTAAAACAAAATCGAATGTTGAACAATTTAATACGGAACAAAAATTTCAAGATATTTGAACAAGATAAACATCTTTGAAGTAACCGTTCATAGTAGTATGATAGAAATTAACAGTTATTTTCTCAGTACTGCTCAGAAATATGAATAAATGTAAATAAATATAATAAATATTTATCTTTATTTAAGCAAAGAAGTAAATCCACAGTGACATAAGTGGTTAATGGGTGCGGAATAATTAGAAAACAGAAATATTACTAAGGAACTGGAACAAAAGAAACATAATTAGAATGACAACAGCTGGCGATTGACTGGAAAGCATGGTGCCAGAAGAAAGTTCCACAACCGATAAGTGCGAGAAAAGAATCTGTTACCACAGAACTTACGGTTATGTTCTAACCAATTCAACTGCAAATTGGTGAGACCTGGTCACCAGTCAAGTACTGCGCTTAAATTAATAAAGTCTAGGTAGCGAAGAACTCATCCGAACAATTACCATTTACCATGAAAGTATTTGCCCAGGGAAGTAATTTTATAGCGGTGGAACAGTGACTGAAGGCGAGACGCCAGGTCAGGGCCAATAATATTACTGGTTCTTCTTTGGATGTTATCAAGAATCTCTAAATATATAGCAGGAACACTGAGCTATATGTGGCAGCAATATTCTAAGCAAGGACGAATGGTAGATTTATAAATTCAGGAGAGAAAAATTGTCTCGCACGACACAGTGAACCAACTTTCTTAGCAGCTGACCCTGCAATGGATTCAATATTTCCATTTCATGTAAACAGAGAAATTTAGTCCAAGAAGGCACAACGAGCCACTCCCTGGAGGTTAGCATCAGCCATGCTGATGGAAGACACACAGGGTTGATTAATAGAGAGCAGTTTAGTTTTGGAGGTGTTAAAATTAATAAACAATCCTTTGCGAGACTGAACAACAGACTGAAGGTCGTTTTTGACAACAGCCTCCAATTTTATCTTAACGAACTGACCAGACTTACTTATCAAGACAAGAATAAATGGTTGTTTCATCAGCTAAGATATCAAGTTGAGGGCTGATGCCGTCGGGAAGGTCGTTAATTAAAATTTTAAAAAAAGTAGGACCAAGGATAGAGCCCTGAGGGACACCTGCATTAGTACAAAAGGATGATAACTGAAAATAAAATTTATTTTGGAACTTGACCAAAGTCGACTTTCAATCAAAATTCAAGGACTGACCGGTAAATTCCTCGATTGTTCAACGATTTTTTAAATTACCAATTTTTCCGAAAGGTTAGCATAAAACCCTAATTAATATTAACAGCATTTGTACATTGAAAGATTTTACAGTCACACATGGTGCCCTCACTATTGCCTAATAGAGACTGAGGTGTTATCGGAAAACCGTTGCCTTCCGTAAAAATTATGAGAGATTATAATAATTTATCACAATAATAAGTGCCATGATTCCTCTCAAAATCGAATCAAACTGGACATTTTCAAGGAAAATATTAGATAATAAACTGGAAATGCATTTAACTCTGTAACCATTCCGAAATTTCATATATCTGCTTGAGGTCCAGGTTACCAAAAAATGTTTGTTTATTTGTGTGTGTGTATGTGTGTGTGTGACTAATAAATAAATAAATTAATTGAAAAGTTCAAAACTGGAAACAAATAGTTTTATGATTTATCTTCAAACCTAAATTCCTCATGACTTTATTGTACCGCGTGTTTCCCATCAATTAATCCATCCATCCGTCATCTTAAATCTGTCTGTCTTTCCGACTGTTATGTATATAAAGAATTGGCTTGTTTTCAAGACTTGTGCACGCCTTATTCATTTTCACTTTTGATTGGTGCTGCAGGCCTTGGCAATATAAATGCAGATTTCAGTCGGATTTGCTGTATAACCATTTGCTGGTCGACCGTTCTCTATCGGCGCAGATCTGTAATGGCATTCAACCAAAGAATCTCCAATTATGAAAGCCAATTTTCGATTTTCACTTTTTCTTTGAAAATTAACTTATCCAACTCTATAAATGTTCAGTATTTATTCGAAACATGTGCCACTCTTTTAACCCACTCTCTCTCCACTCTCTTCCTCTCTTTATATATATCTCTCTCACTTTCTTTCTCTCTCTCTTTATCTATATATATATATATATATATATATATATATATATATATATATATATATATATATATTAAAGTGGATCAATAAGTCCGTAGTCTAAATGTAGTTTTAAATGGAATTTCCATCTGAAATGTTCACTCTAATATGTTCGATTTATTTGATTATTTTTAGTACCGAATTAAAGATATTGACATGAAGGAGATTAATACTGAAAAATAACTGTTTTATTTTCTAAAATAAATTATTTTTTCATCATTTGTCATCGGATATTTTGATGTATTCTTTATATGCACGGAATTTTGCTGGAATACTTTAAGGGAAATATTGCAGTGATGTTGATTCCCAACTAAATGACTAATGACGAAAACTATTTCTGTTTTGAAAAAAAGAATGTAATACTAATTTGTACCTAATATCAAAAGTAGTACTTTTTTTAAAATTAAAATCACCTCTTCATAAAAATCCAGCAAGTAATATTTATATTTGATGTAATAATTAAAAAAAGGAACCTCAGAAAAATGTGGATATTTCTTTCCATAAATTGAACAAATAAATATTTATGAATAAAGCTGTTATTGAGACATATAGCAAACTGATGAGTGTGAGCAGGGATTACGACTAATGAGTTATCTGTAGATTTATTTCAGTATGATCGTCTACGTCCTGAATGGACACGGCACAAAGAAGAAGAAGGTTATTACTGAAATAGTTCTAGAAACTCATATTATTTGGTTAGCTGAAATGTAGACCCTCATCTTCACATTTAAAGATTTCTCAAACATTTGATGAAAAGTTTTCCACTTCATTTTATCCAAATACAAACAAAATACGCAAAAATTTGCTTTCGCTGTTTGTCATCGAAGCGCAATTGAAGGTACTGACGGTATATTTGATAAGACTTGCTTTTTATTCATTTTAAAAGTTTCTGATAAGACGTTTTTCTGCTTTTCACTAATATTGCATTTCCTTAAACCTACTTTCATTTCACACGACTCACCTCTCTAAATTTCTCTTTCGTATTTTCTTTACCCTGTTCTATCAACTAAAACTTAATTTATTGAATTGAAATTTATTGAATTATTATTATTATGACATAGTAAAAAATATCGTTAGAAATAAAGAAAAGTGCACTGGATTGCTATGTAATATTTAATTTCCTATATTTCAGGAATTGCTGAAAAATCTATTTACAGATAAAGAAGTGGTTCTACCGATGGATGTTATGAATATCAAGGACAGTTAATCTGACTAACGAGGAAATTGTAAGGAAAATATGAATTACAAGGAACATTTCACTAAATGACATTGGCACATAATAAGCAAACAAGGCCTAGAGAAGTTAACACCCAAATAAATTATTGAAGGCAAGAGAAGTAGAAGGAAACAGTGAGAACGAATTGGAGTGAATGGGTGGGAGAAAAAGGGTAAGGTATTCACCCATTTTATCAGGTTTCTGCCATTTAATTTAGTTGCAGGTTTTTTTCATATCGTCCTAAGATACTCCTTTCTTATTTTGCTTCCATTTCTTGTTTTATTCAGTGACATTCGAGCTCTCCGAGGTATTTTTCGCGTGACTCTGCTCATTGTCTTGTTATTCGGTTTGTTGATTCCACTTGTTCTTACATTTCTTCCTCTCTATATATTACTAGCTTTGCGCATATTTGTCTATCCCAATTTGTCTAATCCCAAATTCCATTCCAATGGTGTCGCTGAAGGTTTTAAACTTTGTTGATCATTGTTTCAATTTCTCTCTTATTCTTGGCAAACAATTTTGCGTTATCCATATATATGAGGTCGTTGACTTTTTCCTTTCTGCTGGAGAATTTATATCCCTTGCGATCTTTTAAGGTTCAGTTTAGTGCTATTATAGATATGACAAATAGTGAAGACAGTCTCCCTGAAAAATCCCTTTTTTGATATTTACCTCAAATAATGACTTTCCTTCATCGACTAGCTTAAACTTCCTAGTTTTTCATAGAGTTAGTCATGATTTCCGTCTATTTCGTCAATCTTAAATATTCAAGACATTCAAATATCAAGTTATGAGGAAATATATTCTATGGCAGTTTGTATTTAATCCATCCCAATTAAAATGTTTTTCTTCTTTTTACTTCCTTCAAAATCCTTTGGTCATTTTACCCTTTCATTCCTCTCCGGTACTCTTTCTTGTAAGAATTCCCTGCTATCCATAAATTTGTCTATTTTTCAGGTTAAATTTGTTTACATTAATGTTATGCCTGTAATATATCTGTACATGTTCACTTGAGTTCTTTTTTAGTGTAAATTTGGATGTGACTTGTTCGGTCTATGATCATCCATTATGGGACATTTTAGGCAGTTTTGATGTTGCTAACCTAGTTTCTCGTGAAACATAGTCGACCTATTGCATTATATTCTAGTGCTTTCCACTTGTGCATTTTTTAAGTTTGTTTTAAAAGTGCCTATATTTATTGCAATGCTTTTCTTTGTTCTATTTACTGAAAATCTTTTCATTTTTGTTAATTATTCGGATACTTTATTGTGTTTCTTTTGGTAGGAGCGCTTTTAATTCCAGAAGTTATCTGCTTCTGCAGTGACTGGTTTTACGCTTTTTCTTTATTTTTCCGTTTACGTCTTAGTAACATTTATTTTTGTTGTTTTCAAAAGTGCGGTGTCGTGTGCACATTTTCCATGTTGCTTTTCAGCCGTGTTTTTTTTGGTGGGGCGTGGGGATATGTTTCTTTTATTGCTGCGAGTAATACTTAATACTTTTTGTCTTTTTAAAAAAATATGTCTCATAGTTTGTTTCGTAGTCCAATATTGTTAGACATATATTTCAGTAACCTTGTAACTCTAATCTTATTTCCCATGCTGGTTTGTTTTTCTTGTTGTTCGACGTTGCCTTTGGTATAAAAAGGCGTTTTCGTTGCCATTTTTGTTTCAGCGTAAATGTAGTGGTTGAGTTTTGTCATATATTTAGTGTAAATATTATTGTACGCTGACAGGCTCGGTTGCTCCTTTTATTTTTTCCCAGTACTTGCTCCTTATTGGTGACAAGGGTTTATTCTTTTCTTTCATCAATTTCTTTAGTGTTTCTACTAGGTCTTTCCACCTGGCAGACACATTATCTCTTTCTGCATTTTGTCTCCAAATTTTTTCTTGGTTCTAATTTCATTCTTTACGGGAATTGTAAGTTATCTTCTATTTTTCTCTGTAGGTAAGTTATGTACTTCATTGTCTGCTATAACATGCATTTCCTTCATCTCAAGTTATGATATCTAATTACTTCTGAAAAATTTGTTTAGCTTGGTTGGTAAGTCGTTGGCTCCATTCTTCTACCGGAGTCTTATCTTTCTATATTATGAGCATGTCTTTTCTACAGCCTCGAACCGATTATTTTTTAGGTAACTGTAGGTAATTGATTTTTATCTTCTTTTTCCATTTTCTTTTTCACTGACCAACAATTACTCGCCAACGACTGTGTCTCTCCATCAAGTAAGTATAAGCCTGAAGTATAACCAAAGATTATCGTCGTCATTTTTCTAAAATGAAAAAAAAAAAATTTATTTGCTTCTACATTGACAAAGCGGAATGGTATTTCTGATTTCCTTCTTGCTACAGTTAAAAACACAGGCCGGGCAATTTGGTTATATCTTCCAAACTGAATTTTTATTACTCTGAAACAAAGTCATAGCCCATCTGTTAAATAGGTTAGATTTTATTTAGTCGTCTGGTAATAGAATTGACTGGTTTCTCAACCTATCATTAGTTTTCAGAAATTGGATAATCTTTCATACTCCTTACTCAAAAATTGTACTTTCGGATACTTGTAAATTTAAATTTAATTCATATAACCATACTTTATCTACTAGCTATTTATATTATAATAGTATTTTAAATCTTATACATCTATAACCAGCCAAGTTTGTGCAAAACTGTTCATTGTACGTATTTTTGCACATGTCTTCTGATATGTCCGTCGTAACTGATATAAAGACAAATTGTGTCTGGTTAATATCAAGGGGGAATTTTCGTCGCAAGGAATATTTTATGAGCTGAAAATTTACATTTGTAATGACTCGGAAGATCTTATGCCTCGTCTTGAGATAAACGTTTTATTTATCTTGTGTGTGTGTGTGTGAATAACGGGTTTCTTACTTAGTGCATGCAATATCTATCCTTCACCGAAATTTGAAAGTTGACACTGCATATTTCCCCTCGGCTTATTTTATTTAATTACTAACGGTGACCTATTCAATCAAATAAAACCTTGATCAGCACACACAAGCGACCTTCTTGTCTACTCATAATTTATTTTGATGAGCATTTTTAATATTAGTAGGTGGGTGGTTGGTTGGTAGCAAAATATTAAAATCACTGACATAAAATACAGGAACACCAAACACAAAACATATAAGTGCACAAGTATAAGATAGACTTTCGAGATTATTTTCCAAAATCAGTGTTAGCGGCAGGAATTAGGGTTAGGAATGTTTTAAAATAATTTTTCTATTCATTTAATTGATTTATGTTGTTGTTAATGAATCTCTCCGAGCCGGTAATTGGGAATAAACTCCTGCTTTGTAGCTACCAAGTAAAATATAGTTTACCCATATTCATAACAAACATTTTCACCAAACTGAATCTATATTAAAGATCAAGACCAAATCAAATTGACTCTTAAATAAAATGGCTAAAGAAGCATCGCCTTACGAATGAGCTGCAACAAGAAATGCAATAAAAGCCAAAAGAATTCATATTTTAATTATTTAAAATTAAGACTTATTTTTCATGTAGGTTTAGACTCAGTGAATTTGTAACTTACAGTTCAAAGATCCTCTTTTAAGTACGACGTTAGTGATATTCTCTAATACAAATTTATCAACATCAACGAGAAAGTTTTGCATCAAAATAATTGACGTGATTTATACACTTTGTGCTCAGTTAATCTTTCACAAACACCTTTAATTATACAAACTTTAAATGTGTTAACATTTCTTGTTTTGCTTTCGGATTTTATAAGAGAAGTTCATGCCTGCGTCTGATATTTCCTTTTAAGTATCAAAATGGTTAGGTTTGTGTAACTAGTAAAAAAGGGGCAAACTCTTTGATTCTGAATCGACATAAACAATTGTGGATTCCGAGGCTCTTGTAAAATCTGTTATACTAATAGCATTTGTGTAAATGTTTGAAATGACGTATTGCCCAACTGTACACAGGACTATGAATTTTCCTGGTTAGTCGTCGTGGATAGAAGCTAAAGATAAAAGGATCTAATTAAAAACCTCAACATTTTAATATTCAAACATCATCTGAAAGATTAGGACTTATGAGGTAACATTTAATTAAAAAAAATCGGGAGAATTAACTTGCTGAAATGATGTGATATATAAAGAAAACTTAGGTTAATTCTTAAGGTTATTAATGAAGAAAATATCGCCCCCCCAAAAAAAAAGAATACAATAATAAAATATTCTAGTCTTCAAAGGAGCATTTTCTTTGCTTAATCGCATGCATTTTATTTGTTTTTGTCGTGTGTGTGGATAAGAATAAGTATTTTAAAATGTATGAGAAATAAATGAACAAATAAAGAGACTCCTATTGGTTTCGATGTCTATAAGAAGGGTAAATGTACACACACACATATATATATATGTATATAAATATATATAACAATTTAACTTTTTCTTTTAATAGTTTTTTATTCTCTACAAATACATTACAATACCCATTTCGTTTCTCCGTGCCTGTTTTCGTATTCTATCTATTTATCTAGACAGACGGACAAGACAGACAGACAGACATACAGGCACGATCGTGTATTGACAGGGTAGTGGAGAAAAGAAATGGGTATCGCAATTTATTTGTAGAGAATAGAAAACTAGGAAAGGAAGAAGTTAAATTAACTGACTGCTGTTGGCAAATGGTTTTCAAATAATGACCAAGTTACGTCATTGGCTCATAAGATGAAAGTATTAACGTCATGTTTTCATGTTGGTTTAGAAAATGGACTAGAACTGAATTACATTTGTTCAAGCATACATGCGAAATTGTGTATACGGATGCAAGTGTGCTTGTATCTAATCGTATGTATTTTGTACATGCATGTATATACATATGCATTAAGATGCATGCACCTAAACATGTTCGAGTGTATTTAACATGTGCATATCTATCTATTCTACATTGTGGTATGTATACACATCTATCTATCAATACACGCGTGTGTGAGTGTTAAATCAAAAGTGTGTGTGCATCTAAGTATTTTCAGTGCTTACCACTATAACATACACTCAAGCGGGTTTGCAAAATATATTAATATAAAATAATGTTTTGATCGCACCAGCTATTTCTACATTGTGGTGTGTATACACATTTGTACATGTTTATAATACTAAGTGTGCCGACATATTTGCATGAACCTATATGCATGTGTGCGTGGGTGTTTGATGTTTAAGTGAGTGTGAGGTTAAGTTTGTTTAATTAGAGTTTGTCTGAACACTTAAGCTCGTTGACTTGCACATGCATAAGTTTGTATGCCTGTATATATGTGTGTATTTATTCTTAGTAATAGATTTGCGTGCATGATCTTTGTATGCCTTTCTGTGTGTGATTTTACAAATAAGATTCTTTGTTTCAAGACATTTGTATATACTTCTCTCTGTTTGAATGGCTTGTATTTCTGTCATGAACATATGGCTAGGAATATAAAATGAAAAGTGAAAATTTATCTATGTTTGTGTAGATTTAAAGAAATAAAAAAAAATTACTTACTTATGCATATTGTGCATATATGAAACCTGCGCATACTAGAGCAGATCTTTTCTCTTTCACTATATATATATATATATATATATATATATATATGTGTGTGTGTGTGTGTGTGTGTGTGTGTGTGTGTGTGTGTGTGTGTGTATTAGTGATTGGTATCTGGGCCCTGCCAACAACTGAAAATAAGACAAAAAACAGGGGAAAAAGGCTTCTTGGTCGAGCCGAGAACTTGAGGTACCAGTTGTACACACATACACGCGCGCTCGCGCGCACGCGCCTATATATATATATATATATATATATATATATATATATATATATATATATGTGTGTGTGTGTGTGTGTGTGTGTGTTCGTGTGTATTTCGACCATCTTATGAAAACTGAATATTGTCAGTACGTTAAACAAAATTTTGTTAGTTACATCCTGGTATTTTATAAATGCTACATTCCAAATTCAGTTGTATGCGTATCTTATAAATACCGTCAAGTGTAGAACGGTTTCACAGAGCTTGACTGTACCGGAAAATGAATGCATAAAATATCTTATAAGTATTATTTTTATTTTATACGCATATTAATACGTATAAAATATTTCATGCATTCATTTACCGTTGCAGTCAG